AGATAATTCTCAAAAATGACAAATACAGTAACACGTCATCAGACAGCTGGAGAAGGAAGAACAAGAAACCACTGACAAGTCCAAGTTTGCAGTGAGAAGTAACCAAACATTTAAAGGCAGGTGTAACTGTTCTAAAGAAGGAAATCACAAATGATTTTTTCCTCAAATAGACACCCTTTCAAAGGTGGGGTAATTCATCACAGTAATTCATCACACTCATAATGCGATAAGAATAGCATTTTTACACATTAAGTAAATGCTCTTATATAAAACAAAAACAGTACTACCTAAAAAAAGTAAAGGCCCTAAAAACCCAGTTTCCTTAAAATTCTGGCACAGATTCAGTACTAGGGGTGAAAGGCCACTGCTTCATTAACTGAACCAACTCAATTAAAATTGTAGCTTAATGAAAAAGTCAAGATGATCATAAAAAACCCAGGTCATCCGGAGAACATCACTAAAAAATCTCAAACATCCTGTGCTTAATTGGCAGTAAACTTCTTGATCTGGCCTATTTGAGCAGTGGCAAACCACTGCAAAACACTCTAATACAATTCAAAGATACAAAAGACAGAACTCCATCAAATTTAAACTAAATCAATATATATAACTTAAAAGTACATCAAAAGGTTTGCATGTGGAGGACAGTACGTGCCTTCTTTCTGGAAAATAAGGCTTTCAATTCAGATCTTTTAGTGTGTCCTCCACAGGAAGACGCATTAAAGAGTAAAAAAATGGAATAATTCTAAAAGGAAAGATCCCAAATAGAAGACTGACTTTGACAACATCTTTTGAGATTTGTAACCAAAATTAAGAGACAAAGTTCTTTTTACCAGAAAATATTTGCGAACTGCTGTACAAGGGGTACAAGGAGGGGCTGTACAAAAGGCTTACTATATTAACAGTTTTCAAAGCTGTTTACTTAACGAGATTACATTGATATTTTGGAATCTCCTACATTTCTGTTAAAAAAAAAAAAAAGTGAGGTTCCTGCAAGCATGCTGCAATTTTGCTGCAAAATATGTTTTTTGCAAAACAAAGACCCTCTACTTGAAAAGACTATGTTTGCCTTTTCAAAGAGGTACTGAGGGACAGACAGCATTACCTACTGACTGCTCACAGTGCCCAAAGGAGAAAAAACATATAGTCTTTGGCTCCTGTCGTATGCATTTGGAAACAAGTCCAGCAGAAAATTGTGACGTTAAACTCTTAGACAACAGGGAGAGTTGAGGATTACAGACTATAGTTCAAAACTTTGACCTGACTACAGGATTATCCCAGTAACCTTCACAAATGATCAGTAGACAAAAACCAGTTTGATCAACACACAAGTCAAAATAGTTACATCCTTGTACATATGTCCATTCATACACAGCAAAGTATAGAATAGGTCCATATTAAACAAAAACTATATGCTCTAATTAAAGATATACAATGGTACTATCAGAGAAAAGTTCCCAGTTTTTGCAAGAATAATACTTTTACAATGATGCAATAATATTAAAGTTTTCTTAATCAAATATAACACAATTTATCATCATGCCATCTCAATTTAAAAATTATCTGGAAAAGTACTAGTAAAAGATAAACATGTATAAAGTCTCACTAAAGATAAAACACACACTTTCCATTAGACATTATAGCAAAATGCAATAATTCCAGCACTATTAAAATTTGGACAAAGTACACCTGTCCTCTTCAGCATATTAATAGAAATGTGACCGTAGATGGGATACAGATAGTCAAAATAACTACATGTTTCTAGAAATGAAAATTTAGCCAAAACCAAATCATTAAAAATAGATATCAAGGGTGATAGACCCTGTTTAAGGTATCACATACACACTTTTATTCCTTTGTATTCCTTAGAAGCAAAATAGGGTATTAAGAAAAATACCTTTTAGGGAAAAAAAAAAAAAGTATTGTTCTTGTGTTACCAAATTTGAAAAGGGAAGGAGAGGGAAGAATTAAAACTCTTCCATAAGTTCTCATGGCTTTCTAAAACCTTGCAAAAAAAAACAAAAACAAAAAGAGCAATAACAAAAAAGCACAGTGATAGTGTAATAAACCAATAAATGCTGAAGAAGCAATAAACAATTCAGAAACACAGTTTATAAACCTATGACACAGGAGGAAGAGCAATCAGGTTAATAAAATGGGAAAATGGGAAACTACTCCAGAAATGCTCTGAAGATGCAGAATGAAGAGCAACCTGCAACTGTGATTGGAATGAAGCTGGTTTAGCCCCACCAGACAGAAGCCCCTCTTAGATCCACACACACTGGTCTGCAAAGCACTTTACTCAGCACAAGCCGGGGGAGAACCACCCCTAAACTAAACCACCTTCCTTCTTGGAAACTGTTGTCACGGGGTCATGATTGTTTTCATTAGTGAGAAGTCTGTAGCAACAAGTATTTTGGCTTCCTATATCACATCTGGCCAATGGATGAATAAGGAGTTTAGATTTCAATTCTATAATGGGAAATCATAAAACAGGAAACTTCTCACAGTTTTAAACAGCATGCAATCCTAAAAACACTGGCGTCTACTTTGTGCCTTTTAATTAACTACTAAACCATGTCTTCACATACTTGATTCTTTATGAGGACTTCAATAGCCACATGCAAACTTGGTTTCTTAAACTTCTTAATAACAAAGTGGATAGCAACCCTTCTGCCCATTAGAAACAACTCAGCTTTCCTAATGATAGAGGCAGCAAGCTGTCATAAGAAATGGCAAAAACTATGTTAAAATATATTTTTTTGCTACTTTCAAAATGCAGTACAGCAGCTGAAAATAAGGGAAATGAGATGAGCCTTCTCATTTATAATCATAAATAAAGCCCCATGGAAGGCCAAAAATTTTAATTTCTGTATCTCAAAAAAACAGGTTCTATTCTTCAAGAACATCACCGATGGCAAGATGTAATTTAATAGTCAATGTATGTAGTTATAAAGGCAAAGAAAAGAACACTCCCACTAAATCGACTCAATAATATTATTTTTCCATATATAGATTAGTCATATATAAATCTGCATTCTGAAAGAAGCTGTGTTTACTATTAACGCTTTACTTTCAATAATAAATTTTAGAGATTGCTTTCTACTTTTATGGATTTTAATATGGCATACCCCTACTGCACCAACATTTTTCTTTAACATATTCTTTCCCCTAAGATTGATTTGTTCCATGCATGAGGGCTTGCTCACTACTTCACCTTTACCACTAAGTACCTCCACAATGTTAAGGCACTAAGCCAAAGAGGTTAAATTAAATAAAATTTGATTTGGCAGTTTATTTTCATTTAACTTCAGGATTTCAACTGCCTTTAATTGTGTCACCACAAAATTACTTCCCTCCCAACCTTCAGGAAGCTTTTTTAAGTACTTGGGATTTTTTTGCTTATTGTTCTGTAACATACAACAGCATATCTACCACCTTCAACACAAGACAGTAAATTACCTTGTTGTAAAAAGAGCTGCCTGTTTACTATAGGATGAGACCAGAGCAAAACACTGCACAAGTTGGTGGTCAGGTCAGTGTGAAAACAGCTAAGACAAAGGTTCAACTTTATGGCTCCCATAGCTTATTTATCTCAATATGCTTCTGTAGCTACTTTTGAGACACATACGATGTAGAAAATAGTCTATAAGGAAATATCTTTAAATAGACATTAGGTGAGCCAGCAAATCGTATATTTATGACAATTACAATCATTACCGTAGTTCCTAAAAGAATACTTCAGGAGTAGCAAACTAACATGGGCTCTAAGTCTATCTTTAAAAATTCCTTTACAACTAAGACCAAGATAATAATAGTTTACTACTACAGTGACCTCAACAAAAGCTTTTCGATGAAGATTAAGGGCAGGCAAAATAAGGTTATATTAGTTAAGATTAAGCTATGAAGAAAGTTTCATGGTTTATGGTAAAACAGAGAAAATATGTATATAAAGGCAGCCTATATGCATACAAGTACACGCAGGGCATCTGAATGATTGTGAGAACAAGCTGCTGAGAAATTATCTCACCAAAATCATCCATACTCATCAGTTTAAAGGTATTTACTAGCACACACCCCTGCTTACCCTTACCTGTTTTATATTAATTTGCACATGCTAGTATGATATATGCATAGCTAGGAAAATGATGCATATAAATAAACAGCTCAGAGAACCTGAAAATATCTTCACCTTAGCAGAAGCGTAAGTAAATAATAATGATCCAACTATAATCTCACTAGTTATGAGGACTATATAGTTAAAAAAAAATAAAAAGGAATTGTTAATACATTTTAAAGCATATTTAAATATGGATCCATGGAAAAGGCCAAAATGGAAGGTCAACAGTATGGACACCTCAAATTTCTATTCCACATGTTCTGCAAGTTACTTACATGCTCATGGGCTTTGTTAGTTTAGTGTAGAGATGCATAAAATATGAACAGATGTGCCTACATAAAAGCCCTAAAATTGGGGTTAAGGTTAAGAATTCATTATTCATTAAAGTCACTAAATATAAACCAACACAAAAGGACTAACTCTCCCCTCCCTGAATGCCTTTGAGGCAGCAGGTTAAATAAAGGCAAAGAAGAAAAAAATAAAGACCAAACAGAAGATATTTCCAAAACAAACTTTATCCAGATTATTTATTTTACCTTAACGGAAAGGTTCTTTTTTAAATAAAACATTCTTCCCATCTGAGTTATGGTCTTTGCTTCCTACTTGCACTTACTGGAATTCACTGTATTAAAAGACTTTAAAATTATCCCACTTAAAAAAAATCACTTTAAAACAACAGATTGGCACAGACCACGCTATAATTAGAGACATTAGCACAGATCACACTACATTTAGAGACAAATAGGCTTCAAGATAATATGTATGCAAATTACGTTTGCAACAGTTTCTTAAATGACAATGTTTCTATGCAGTATAGAAGTAGCACCTTTAAATAATCAGTTTAATTCAAAGCAGTCCTGCAAAGGATTCATTCACTTACTCGTATCCAGCTGTTGGCCTTCAATTCCACAGGGTTCTGTGGTTCACTGCTGTACAGACAACATAAGCACCACATCAGAATCTTCTGGCTTTCATCTACAGAAAAGAAAAAAAAAAAGTAAATATGGAAAAACTTAGGAATAGTAATAATAATAATAAAAATCTAAACACAGATCCCAACAATCACTACCCATCCACAAAACCAAAGTGCTAAATAACTGTCTCAACTCATAACACCTCTATTCTACCAGAATCACACCATACATTTGATATTATTTATATGTAGCTTTTTTGTAATTATTTCCTTCAACAGCAATTTAAAAGTTATCAGAGTTTAAAATCTATACAATATTAAGACATTCTTAAGAAGGATGTACAACTTCGGAAATTATTTACATAAGAAACACTTGAAGCTATTGTTAAGGAATTTTATTTAAGTACCCAATAGTAACATTTATAATAAACAGTATCAACAGTAGTACAGTAACTGTTTAGTCTCACTTCATACACAATGTACATACATTGTATGAACATGTACATAAACACAATACACAATGTTTAGTGCTAACTTCATACACAATGTAACAGCATTGCTTCTAAAAACAGTTTTGGATGCACGAAATAATTCAAAACAAGATTCTTTTCGTAAATAACAAATTAAGATTCTCTTCAGGCAACTGCTTCCGCTTCAGGAAACTGAGATTTCTGCAGACAGCAGTATACCTGAATACCAAAAGGGGAAAAAAATCCTCATGTTCTTGAAATTCTGTCTGTGATCAGATCAGGTTTACACATGATTCTAGCTACTACTGCCATCACGAAGCCATCTCTAAGATCCTACTATACTTAACAATATTGCTACTGTTCAGATTCAGAAAGAATATTACAGAAAGGCTGGGTATTTGGAATAAGCAGTTGAAAAGCTATTTAATTCATAATTCTTTCCCATAACTTCACTTTCATTTGGCTTTTATTTTAAGATGTTCCTTGGCAGATAACAAGATCCTCTATATTGAATTTCATCCCAGAATAAGACTGCATTGTAATAGATATTATAAAATATACAGGTACTATTGTAACTTTGCTATAAGACTTACTTACTAAGTGCTACTGTGTTTAATAATAATATATATGTGTATTGGCACATGAATTTTAGAAATGCCATTAGGAGATAAACTGAATAATATAAAGATCAACAAATTACTTCTGGTATTTTTTTTTATATTTGTGATACAGGAGGTAACAAGCAGTATTATGTAGAAGTGCCGTGTTTGCAAAACCTGAAGAAAAGCTAAAAGATAAATTAAGCAATGTCTCTTTTTTCACCAGGTGAACACAGATGTTAAGATTGATTTAAACCAGTATTCCTCAATAAATGTCTAACAAGCCTTGGGGCCACTAGTGGCCTCCCAGTGACTAACATGTCTGCACAGAAATGGTTGATCAAACATACATCTAACTAACTGCAGTTTGGGATATTCTGCCATTGTGTGTTTTTCTTTGTTTGTTTTTAAAAATAGGTTTTTATGAGGCTAATAATTTCCTAGGTTGTTTAAGATCAAAAGACTCATCTCTCAAAAATTTGAAGTATCCATACTCACTGGATTGCAACCATACTTAACTCAGATATCAGCACAAGAAGTCAATTTTACCACCTTCAAAACTCATTTTATCTAGACCAATTCAGAAACAAAATTACACGGGAGGCAAAATAAACAACAATTTATTGTCCAACCAGATCAGTCATAATCATTTGCTTCTTAGAAAAAAGGAGTTAAAAATATTACAAACAGATTCTTTTTTAATATTAGTAATTGAAATTATCTCCAAAACCAGACTTTACTAATAAGAAAAAAAAAAAAAAGGCCAAAACACGAGGCAAATAAACAGGGGGGGAAAAAAAAGTCCAAACCACCTACTGTCTGAAACAAATGTAGTTCAGGTGTTTACTGCTCGCCTTTTCCCTCATCCTATTTGTAGCTGTATATCTACAGTAAGCCATATAGTCATTTAAGTTAGGGTTTCTCAGCAACAAAAACAAAGCGAAGCAAAGCAAAAAAAAAAATCAATCAAGGAAGCATATATTTAACAGCTTAATTAGGATTTACAGGTCAAGGGATTTTTTGTGTGTGACTCAAGAAGTTATCTAGCATATTTCAGTACGATGAAACCTAACATGATGAATGATGAAAGACTGCCAATATAGGAGCTTATACAGATCTAGCTAGATATGTTCAAAACTCAAGCTACTTGAAAATATATTGCGTTACGGCCAGGCTTGCAGTTCGTTCTAAACTGAGAGTGTCTACAGATGAGCAGTTTTCCCAGTCAAACTTTTTGGCTAGGACACAAGTGAAAGCCCTATGGCCCCATCCAGCTCTGCCGAACAAAGCCCTCTTGCATTTTGGAAGACACTCTCATGTTCATCATATCTTCTTTTTTTTTTTTTGCAGCTATCTCTTAGGACTGAGAGATAAAGCATAGGTCTTCTACACAAATTTATGGCAACTGCAAAAGCTAATCACAACAAAAGACTTACCACAGAGAACCATGGAAAAGTTAGTAGTCATTTTTCCCCCCATCTTGTTTTTCCAGATTGTGATCATAAAAAGTCTACAATCCTGGTAAGAACTGAGAGTCATTATCAGGATATGAACAACCATATTCAATCTTACTACAGTTTGAAAGAATGCTTACTCTGGTAAAAATACCAAATGTGTACATTCAGAGGAACAAAATTAGCAAACTTAATGGTGGAATTTATATCAAAGAAAAATCTCACCAATTTTGTCCTGAACTTAAGTAGGTTAATGATGGAATTAAAGGAATGATTTTTATTTCCTGCAGGAAACTTAAGACAGCTTTGGCTCCCCTCTCCCTTTTTTTTTTTAAGCAACACTTTATTATGAAATATACAGCAACCCTTTCCTGACAGTATCCAAGGAGGGGGAAAAAAGAAAAAAAGACAAGAGGTTACAACTCCTTTCCCATAACAGAGTGTGGTCTGGATCATCCTACAATTCAGTCCATTTACCACGTCATGAATGACCACAGGCAAGGAACTAATGAAACGGCTCTTATTTTGAAATAAGAAATATTATTTTTTGAGCTTTTCATAAAATTTCTGATTTAAAAAAAATTCAAGAATACAGATTTGCTAAAATTGAACTATTTTTTAGAAATCAATACACACATAAGCATGCACATATACTATCTGCAGATACCGATATACAGAGCCACCAGAAAATTCCCTGGCATTTATAGCATTAGTCTGGGATTCAAGACATTTGGGCTCAAAACTTAAACAGGGAAGGGCTTACCAAGAAGGTAAGCCCCACAGCCCACAGGGGAAAAAAAAAGCCTAATGAAAATGAATTCTTCATATATCTACAGTGGCTTAGGACCAAAAATACTGCCAAAAGATTCTGTCTGGTTGTGCTTCCCTCAGATTAGCCTTCTAAATAAGGCTAACTTGGCCACCTCCTGCTCAAGAGTGTTTATGAGGAGATTATTTTCCCCTGGAGACCACGCTTCCTGCACTGACTAGCTGGCGATGTCAGCACCCAGCACCAACAGACATACATCTGAGTTGATCGGTATTGTGGTTTGGACATGAAGCAGAAGCATAATGCTTTTTCCCTCTTCCTTTTATTAGTATGAAAGACTGAAGAACTGAACAAAATTAGCTCCTTGTACTGCAAGGGTGGCCTGATCGCAAATATATTCCTGAATGAGTTACTTATCCAAATGAGAAATTACATGAAACCCACTTGAGAGTCAGCATCTGCTACAGCCAACATTATCTTAAAGAATATCTTCAGAACTAGTGCCAAACAAAATGAAAGTCAGCTGAATTTAAAATGCCAGCTGTCCAAAGAAAACTCAGGTGTCTCTGAAAAGAGGAAGTGTTGGGAATGCATGAGCAGACATCTTCTGGTCTACTGGCCTCAGGAATCTCCCTGACCCCTCTGTAAGCATTACAGTGAAGGATCCACTATGATGGAAGCAAAGTTTTCTGAACGGCTTGGTTGCCATTCCAAGGCAAACTCCTCACAAAACAAGCAAAATCCAAACCAAACCCCACACAATATGTAGAGAGAAGCTGAAAGTAAAAACTCAAACTTCAAAAGGAATGAGCAGCTTGTAAGAAAAGTGCTCATTTTGCTTTAAAAAATACTGAAGGATACAAAAAAAATCAACAAGACTGCTGTGGAAAGTAGTCAAAAAGGCAAAAACAGATGGCTTTCAACTTTCATGAAAAAGGAGGGATGCCTTGTTTTACAACTTAACATATTGTCAGCTGAGAAACACTGGTGGTCTAAACACTTGCATATTCTAGGGGGAAAAAAAAAGAGAAGAAAAGAAAAGCATGCATGTTATTTGTAAACATTAACAATTACCAACTTCGAACTGTGATTAGAAAGAGAACCTCTCCATTGCAAGAGAATAGTTTCCTCTCTAACAAAGACAATCGAAGATAAGAAACATTTTTTTTCCCGAGAAGGTGCCATAAGAGCAGTAATTTGCTGCTTAGCGAAAGTCACCTATGTTTAAAATTACGCTTCCCTTCCAAACTTTCTTTACAAAATGGAAATGCTGACATAATGTATGTCAGCCATGTGTTTCACAGACACCTTCATTCTGTCTGTTCTTGGCACTGACTGGAAGATAATAAATACAAACCAGAAGACACATAATCACTTTAGTCTAATGCTGTGCTTGACCTAATAAGCCATTCCAAGAGACCACAAAAGTAGACCTTTCCTATATTTTCCCAAAAGGAAGCATGAATCAGAAGAGAGAGAGAAGGCAACTTTTTTTTCCAGTTTTAAGAGAATATTGACAAAAGAGTGTTTTAAGAAAGGAGATAGTTTTAAAAAGGCTGAAAGAGTAACTTCTTAGCAGTAGAGCTGGAGTCATTTATTTATGTCTCAGTCACTGCCTGAGGTACTGAACTGCCAGTAATGGTAGCACAGGCACAGGTAGGGTGTGCTGCTTCTCACCACTCCGCTTTCCTCTTCGTTCTTATCACGCACAAGCACGTGTACACACACGCACTCTTAAGCGTAAAAGGCCATTCATTTTCTTCCATGTCACCACTTCCATGTTTTGCATTCTAAGCTCATTTACATTTTCACTAATTTACAAAATGGTTGACGAAAACAAATGCAGAGTAAGATCTATGAAAAAAACAGTCATGAATCAAGTACAGCTTTCTACTAATGTACATATTTTGTCATGTTTCAGAAAAATTAAATCTTTTATGTTAATATATACGTATGATAAAGTATTTTGTTATGTAACTGGAGGAAAATTCTCTTGAAAGTAATCAGAAATACTAAATTATGTCCATTTTGGGACTCTAACAAAAATAACGTTCGTGAAATAGTAAGAAAAAAGAAATGCACCAGAAATGACAATGCATGTAACAGTTCATTAGGTTTAAAGTCTACTGCTCCCAAAACAAGATTCTGCAAATAATCCTTGAAACTAGCTAAACCAAAAAGTAAATTTCAGACTGCTAAATGCCATATGCTTTAAATAAGTATAAAAATTTTAAAAATATATTAACATTTAACTAACTAAAATAAGTTAAATGATAACCTCATAAATATACTTAATTTTTAGAAAAGAATTAGAGGATAATAGACAGACAACCACTGATAATAACAATTTCACAACATTTTAATAAAACAAAAAACAAACCAACCAAAGAAAAAAACACAGTATTTGGGATCAAAATCAAGTTGGATTTTGCTACTTTCTAGACAAAAAAAGAGTTTTAGGAACTGTTACAGAAAGATCATTACAAGTTCTCACCATATCCTATAACAAAAGGATTCCAACAGAGTCTTCCTAGAAGCTGGCCAATTAAAGGGAATTGCTGGATTGCCACAACTGAATTCTGTAAAATAAATAAATAAATAAAACAGCAAACCTATTGCATCTCAAAAGCAGGTTAGGAACATTGTTAATGATACAGATTGTTGGAAATTACAGCCACAAAGATTTTGCTAAAAAACTCTAGAAAAATCTCTTAGCAAAACTTGCTGAAGGCAGCCTTAATGTTCAAAATAATTAAAGCTTAAATAAATAGTTTCCTCAGCTAATACTTAATTACAGTAGAAGAAAAATCCTCTCAACAAATCAGAAAAGTTTGTTTGTAAATGGAAATTTATGCTAGCAAAAGCATAATTTTGTGGTTCCTCATTGCTTTAATATTCTGTATCACAGATTTTATGTACAAATCAATACATACTATAGCATAAAACTATACATATTTCTGTTGCTTTTGTTTGTTTCTTTAAATTAAATGACATAGTGACTAGTCAGCAACAAACTCATTTAACTTGTAATAAAACAGAAAGCAGCTTCACTATAAGAGTAGTAGGCAGTGTAATCTATATACAATCCTGTGTAATCGGTCTTACTTTTCCATTTTTGTAACTTTACTGACTAATAGTGAAGGCTTTTAAAAATGGTACTGTGCTGAGATAATGTGTAAGTAGCAAGAATGATAACCATCTCCTGCTGCTGCAATAAATTCCTTAGATTTGTCTCAGATTTGGGGCTTGCCCTAGACTTTCTGGGGCCATAGGCACAAGGTCCATTTCAGGTCAAGCCTGAGATTATTATAAGTAGTAACATTAATAATATAAATAATGAAAAAAAATATACATATATATACGTATCTTTTCCTTTAGACATACAAAGCATGAATCAACACTACTCAAAAATCCTTTGAGAAATTACATTTCTGTTTATTAAAAAAAACTAATAAAAAAAAACTAAAAAAGACTAATATTTAAAGGAATTACTTTCATAAACACTCACCTCATAATATATTAAGAGTATTTCTAAAGGTAACTATCATGACTAAATATTTTTTCCTAGCCTTTTTCAGTACACACATAAATAACAAAGCTTACCAAAGGAAAAAAAAAAAGGCAATCTAGAGAGTACAGGCAATAATTAAATTACTCAACAGCCAGCAGCACATGCCAATGATGTGACCATATTTCTAGAATTCACTATGTATGCTGCAGCACTGGAGTTAGCATGTCAGCAGACTCCCTAAGATTTAAGGGATCAGTTACGATTTTGCATGCTAAGACCTTTAAATAATCCAATTTATGACCTGACAACTAGAATCAAATTCTTGTTTATTTTAAAGAGGTTTTTAAAGAGGTACAGGATTGGCCTGGAAGCCTCACATGACAATATAACCAATCAAGGAGAAAAATAAATAAATAAATAATAAAAAACTCCTTTCACAATAAATCAGGGAAACAGGAAGCACATTCCTGTTTGCATTACCTGCACTGGCTGTTGCCCCAATTTGCCCCTGTGATCTGGCAATACAATAGGTCAATACCACAAGCTTCTTTACTACTGTTAGATTTTTTTTTTGGTTAAAAATGGTTCAGATTGTTTCTTCAAAACAGTGACTTCAAAGCAGTGCATTCTTTCTGTTACATTACTTACCATATGTTTTAAAGTTTCATAAATCTGCTGTAGAAACTCCTGCAGCTGGGGCAAGTGACGGCACACATCTTTCTGGGATTCCAAAGTGGTGGCCTGTCCCCACTCAGTAGCCTTATCCAACCAGTACTTGAAGTCCAGTTTAGACACTGTTGTATCCTGGGCCATTCCACAGTCCTAAAAAAGATTTCACCTCCAAATCAGGTAGATCTAAACACAGATTAAGAATGTGAGAGGGAGAACGGCCTTCTGCTATTTTTTGTTTGTGTTTCCATTCTAATAGTATGTCTATTTTCTTTTTATTTATAAGAGGACAAAATAGTAACTCCACTATGACAAAGAAGCAAAGGTGGCATGGTGGTTGCAAAAATTGCCTTAGAACAGGCCACCCAGTTGAGTCTTAGGCTTTTATTATCTGAATTTGTTGCTGCCAGTATTTCATCCAAAGAATACTAGAATAATATGAGTGTACCTGGACGAGTATGCGGAAACACATTTATATTTTCTTAAAATGGTTTCTTTGAAAAATATATTTTTATATTTTTTGCAAAAAAAATAGAATGCATAATGGAAAACTGAAAACACCTGTTTCAAGGTAAATTAAAGCATTAAAAGAAGATTTGCACAAAAGATGAGCAAAGGGCAAAGAGAAAGGGAGAAGCTAGGAACCATACTGTCTAAACATTGTAAGATATATAGTCTATATCTATTTACATACTTCACAGCCTTAATGCTGAATCACAGTGTTGACACCCTGAAACAAACAAACAAAACCAAACAAAATAAGGTAGTAACTGCTTTTCTGTTTTCTGGTTTTCTTTTTCACTAGTAGAAGGGCACAGAATTATAGAGCAGCAGGCTCTACATTATTCTGTCTGAAAGAAACACCTTACGGGCTAAATGAACACCTCAGCCATTCAATCTTGGATTTTCTTATGTCAAGATTGCAAAGATGACTCTTATTTAAGGACAAATATGGTGGCAGTTTTCAGAGTGTCATATTCAGAAAGTAGCAGAAGAAATTGGAATCAATTGATATTAGCCTTCTGTAGCTTTTTGTAAACTAAGGACATGAAGACATAGACCAAAATATAAGCCTCAACCTTAGCACTAACCCTGCAAGACAAGCCCGCTTTACAAAAAGCTATCAACTCCTGACATTCACATCAGTTAAATAACATACTAATCCAAGACAGATAAAAATCTTAATACATTTTGTACTGGCAATATATAAATGCATACCTCAGTGAATCACAGCTATTCTGTGAGTTGGATCTTGTCCAGTAAGAAAACATTGAAACAGTAAGGTAAGGGAGGCAGTTAGCTGGCCAGAGTTCAAAGCAGATTTGCTCTGAACATAAGCAAAATAATGCAAGTAAAGTCTACAGCTTTTTGCATTCTTTATTATACTTCCATTTCTACTTGTAACTGTTGCTATCAGGAGAACTCTTCACAGATTTGTGCAGTGCCAAAATCCTACTGATTTTCTAAGTTTCCCTAAACTAGTAAACATTTAAAATCAGCTATGAGACTCAAACAATAGCCATGTCATTTGCCAGAGTGCTAATTACACATGGTTATTTGATCTGCCTAGCTCATCATTATTAGAGGGACATGATAAAAAATTGAAGAACAAGATATGCCCAGAAATTTGACTTAGAGACGTAAGTAAATTAATAAGCCTGTTTCTTGACCCCCCCGCCCCCCATAAGATTATTGTGTTAACTACAAATAGGTATTCTGACAGAATGGCCAAAACCGCTGGGGAACAAAGCAAAGCAAAACATCACAGCAACAGACACTAAACAAATGCACACTGAAGCATGTGGGGGCAGACACAGAGGGAACCCAAGACTGGACAAAGGACCCCCAGGTAAGCAGATCAAATAGGCCTTTCCCCTGCACAAGGTATGTAAAATAACCCATTTCAACAGGCATACTGGCACAACAATCACAGAGCAAGTATAGCCTTTCTCCCGAGTTCTGAAAACTCAATTCCACAAAAAGGAAGGTGTTTTCTCTCTCTTCATAATTACATCTAAATAAACTTGTAAGTCTACAGCAGCTGCATAGCAACACCTCAGGTGGTCCAAAGCTTAGATGAAAGAGCATAAAAAACCGAGACGCACATTCTTGTTGAACTACAACAAAAAATGAGACACATCAACATACAAAGTTTAAGAAATGTTTATAAATTCAACACACTCCTAAAGCCATTTATTTTTAGTTTCTGACAGCTAATTCCCTCAAGATACCTGTTCTGAATCTCTTGCATATGAGTGAAGTATCATCTCACCTGCAGAGCAGACACATAAATAAAGCGGTTTATCATCAATACTGAACTTGCTCCTTTCAGATCATCTTCTGTATCTCCTTGCCATTGTCTGTTTTGGGACACCATCAATTCCAATTCTTACAAAACATATACTGAAATCAACAAAAGAGTATATTAATGCAACATTTCTGAAAGTTGCTTGATCAAGGACATGCTCAATTTAAATGCACAGGAATATTTTGCTGGATCACAACCTTGCTCATCTCAGCCAGACTAAAACAAAATCAGGGAAAAAGAAAACCTGCACTTACCACACCTATTCTATTTGCAAAAGTGTAGCTTTTAAGTTGTGCTTTTTTATTTTGCTTTCTTCAGAAGCCTCCAAAAATAGTAATTTTCCTGATGTACTTATTTAAAATATAGCATCCCATCTTAAAAACAATAGAGCAATTTTATTAACTTAATCCTGTCTCTACCTCAACATTACTGGAAAACATACAGTAATGAATGTATAAATAACATAATTAAAAAAAGAAGTCATGACATACCAAAGATAGCACACAGATTTAACCTCAAAAAATTATTTCAGGACATAAGGTTTATTAATAAAAGAACATAAGACCCCTGATTAAGTAAATATAATTAAGAGTAAACATTTAGATTTCAGTAAAGTACATAGCATTTAAAAAGGTCTGCAGAAACTACAGGTGATAAAGTTCTAATTCATAATTTGACCTGTCATACTGATAAGTTTATTCCCAAGCTTTTTCAGATTCATCTCCACTTTCCTCAGTTAGTTCGGGCCTTTTTTTGTTTCAGCCGCCACAAACAAAACCTGCCTCTTACTTTGGACTGTTTGCGCAAGAACATGAGATACTCACTGACAAGCTGGCTTTCCTGTGCGCTGCCGTAGGGTATCCCTTGCCTTTGGAGAAGGGAAGAACCAGCCCTGCAGCTCCTCTTGCAGGGCCTGCCAGTCAAACGGGTACTTCCATGCACAGGGAACCCTGCGGAGCTCAGCCGTGAGGGTATTTGTTACATCTTTCAGAAGCTGAAGGCAGCATTTCTAATAGGAATGGATTAGCTTTATTCTGTCAAGTGATCTATTGGGATTAGTGTCTGAAACGCTACATTTCAGTCAGTAACTTTTGTTATCACATCTAGCCACAAAGCTCTACAGTATGCTGCGCCCTTCACTCAACAACGGCTGCATTCTCCTGAGCACGTAGATACAAATACAACACTGTCAAAGTCTTCCATAGGAAACATTCTCATTTACTATTCATCTACTGTAGAGGCTTAAATATTTGAAAAGGTCAAAGCGTCATGAGTAAAGTTTTGAGAAAACTTTTCACAACTATCTCCTTAGCTAGAGTCTGAAAATGAAGTAAGAGGGCTACTCTTTCATTACTTTACATTCTGAATGAAGGGATTTTTCCTCTGCAAGCAAAGAGATGCAATCATTTTAAATAAGCCCCCAAGAGACAACATAGTACAAACAAAGAAACTTCTTCACAATTCATAATCCTGAGACACAGACCCACTAACAATAAAAAGGCACTCTCGTTAAAAAAGAATTTCTGTCATAGAAAATTCAGTTGAAAAAAGGCTTCTTCCGTTTTCAGTGTCCCTAAATCTACCTTTAATGGATTGCCAAAAATTTACTACTAAATACTTACAAGAGTAAAGACAGAATGAGTAATAAGTTCAACTATAATTTTTCAAAATAAATAGAAGCATTTTGAGTAAAAGGATCAGAGATATCATTTGGGTACATTACTGTTTAATATCATAACATCAAGGTTTCCAAATGCCACTAAAACTCATATTCAGCATATAAAATTCTGACTCATATACCTCTCCTTGAATTGGTAAGTAGCTCCACACTCCAAAAGAACACTTCACTTTCCATTACTCCATCTCCTCTCCCAAGTCATACCTATCAGCAACCCTAGCTTGTGAGAAAAGGAAACCAGTTAAAAGTATTTATATGACATCAGAGTCCAAAGGCCCCAACCAGAACAGGTCCCCATTGAGCTAATAGACATATAAAGACATTCCACATTCCAAATGATTTTTAGGGTTGTTACGCTTATAAAAGCGGGAGAACAGTCTTTTAAATGCCCATTTTTTATTATTGCAATGGATATTAGGAGATTTGTAAGGACACCCGTAAACCTTTTAATTGAAAGATAGCGTGCTTTTGGACCCTTAGTTAATCATCAACTGAAATATGGTATAACATGGTTTATACCTTAATACAGAAGATGACTTTTTAAGCTTTCTCTTTCGAGAATGTAAAGATGATGATAATCAAGCCATTGATTCACTATCAAATGGATGATAGTTGTACCAAAACAGTAGCAATTATCCAGAATAAAGACACTATTTCTCATATTTCTCATTTACTACTTTTTCCCAAGAGTATCTATTGGGTTGCCTCATCTTTTTACCCACAAATCTATTTTTTGCCTTCACCTTGATAGTTCTCCTTATACTTGCCAAGACATACTGAAGCATATATTTTATTTTATGTAGTAATATTTCTAACATTCTTAATTATCTACTTCAAGAATAATAAAGCAATCCCAGGGAAATAAACTCAGAATAAAAATATCTGCGGAAAAAATGAGTAAATTTTACATTCTTCAGAATGTCTCAAGAGTAGTAAAGACCCAAACAATTTAGAGAGCAATTTCCGTATCTATTCTGGACAGCACAATTATGTGCAGTTGATGTGCAGTGTTGATTTTATTTATTAAGTAATTTTTCAGGTAAGTGCAAGTTTGCCTATTCCTCTTTGCACCAACATCCACACAACTTTTACTGCAGAAGCATGTCGTTATGACAGAAGACAGTTTGTCTAAAAACAGACTTCCTGAATTTAAATAAAG